ATGATGTTGGCTGAGGTCTTGCAATGATGTTTGATGAAGCAAGGCTTAGTGAATAACACAGACTACTCTTGGAAGCAGAAAAAAATCTGTCAGATTTTGAACTGCACACTAACCGGTTTAATGAGGCAAGGCTTAGTAAGCAGCATAGACTCCACTTGGAAGCAGGAAAAAATCTGACAGATTTTGAAGTGTAGACTAACTGGTTTAGTGAGGCAAGGCTTAGTAAGTAGCCCAGACAAATCTTGGAAGCAAATAAAAATCTGACAGATTTTGAACTGCACACTAACTGGTTTAATGAGGCAAGGCTTAGTAAGCAGCATAGACTCCACTTGGAAGCATAAAAAAATCTGACAGATTTTGAACTGCACACTAATCGATTTGATGAAACAAGTCTTAGTAAGCAGCATAGACTCAACTTGGAAGCAGAATAAATCTGACAAATTTTGAATAGCACACTAATAGGTTTGTGAGGTCTTCCTGGAGGCATAGTAGTAGCTATGTAGTATGTATGTATTGTTAGTGTTGTAGAAGATGCTATGAACATCATATGTCTCAGGGGTCACCACAATTACTTTTTAGGCTAGCGTCCTTGAAAACTGAAATATACCTAATCAGGATATGGACTACTGACATAGCAAACCTTACAACAGCATATACACTATCCAGCACCATAACCTCCAGTGTATGATTAACTCAAGATGCCTGTGTGTATTAGTACTGTGTTTAAGTAGCAAAAAATACTATTGTGAAGTTTAACTCTTCATGTTGCTGGTTGGTTATATTTTAGGTTAGTATGGGTCACCAAAATTCCCCATTGGGTACCTAGTCACCAAACACAGTATAACAAGCTACAGATAGATACATAACCCATGATATTAATCATGCCAGGTATAAAAAGCTTTCAGTGACACATAGCTAGCTCTGCTAGCTGTTTCTAAGCTGTTTTGTTGATACAAAGGGTTGTATTCATTCAGGGTCACCAGAATTACTATTTGGGTTAGTGCACCTGAATGCAAGACCTTACCAGATCAGGCTGTTACTACCGGTACTCTAACTTTGAGGAGCAACAGCACAACAACCACAGCACGCAGAGCTTAGCTGAGGATAGTGTTGTGCATGGAATACTCTGCTTTATCCTGTTGCAGCTAAAAATCTAAAAAAAAAATCCTAACCCAAACCCAGTTTTTGGCACTTGATAGCGTGATTATATACCAGCCAAAATCATAATTGAATCTTGACCTTGCATTGCTTACTAAAAAGCTACTGTCCCCTGACGTCTTCATGGAATGACATGGTAGACATCAAATCATACACTGAAGAAGCCAGTGCAGAAACGCTCGTGGCAGTGGGCAATCCAAGTATATCGTCAACTATAACGTCTCTCCAGCCATGCTCAGTGGCATTACGCGTAAATATAGCAGAAAGGCCCTCCAATAGTGCTCATAGCCTCACCAATCGTCACATTCGGGTACCCAACGAATGGACCCATAACCAGCGGATCACCCAGCGTAGCGTTCCTTGCGGTGGTGTCACCGATACCGCCCGCGGAGCCCGCGAGCGCCTTCTCGCGGTTCTTGAGATCCAGGTTCTGCCAGATCCACCAGACACGATCAATCATTGCATGGTGTGGATAGAACGCCGGGTCAGCAGGGCTGTTGTAGAAATCCGACCCTGCGTCGCCGCCAACCGTGTAGTGTCCTCCCGTATGTACTCCCATCCTACCCGCGGCGAACTCGCCCTGATACTCGGCCTGGAAGGATGCGATGTCTTTGTAATTCTTGATCAGACGGACGACTTCGGAGTCGGAGGTGGCGTTAGCAGCCTGGAGAGAGATGTCGCGGCGGAGGCAGCGTGGGTTGTAGCCGAGCCCATCGGCTTGCGGATTCTTAGGGAGACCACCAGGAATCTGGAGCATAGTCTGAAGCGGGCCCATATTGATCTTGAAGCTATATAAAATTAGCAGTCTGTGCGTTTCCCAGCTGAAGATTGGCGCTTACTCTTTGAATGGACCAGAGGTGACACATCCACCGCCTGTGCCAGGCTCGAGGTGCATGTAGCAGGGACCGGTGATGCCGTCCCATGGAAAACAGGAGGAATTTCGTCCTGAAATGTACTCGCCATCGCCAGACATGCTTGAGGCGCTGCCGTCGAAGAAAGGGCCGCTCTTTGGGTCTTCGGCGTAGTGAGCCCAATCGTAGTAGGGAAAGGTGCCTTGGTAGCCACACTCATTTCTCAGCATCTGTTCAAAGGTCCAAGTGAAGTAACGGTGCCATGTTAAAAAGTTTCCGGTGCCGTGTATGGTGAGCGACTGCTGGATGTGGGTGACGACCAGGTCGTCGTAACGACTCTTTGCGCCAGGTGCGACAGAGGCTGGGGTCTTTGCAGGCAGCTTGTGGAGGCAATTGACGGCGTCGGTGAAGGCTATTCTCTCCTTGCCGGACAGTGTTGCCCTGCATTGATGTTAGAGCTATTGCGTCTCGAGCTTTGACGTCAACTTACCATTCCCTACGAACCGAAACCTTGTCCAAAGTACATGTTTCCGGGCTCGGAAGACCGTTCTCAGCTAGGTGAATGCCGAGCTTGAGCATGCCTTCAGCAGCGAGGAGGTCATGCTCCATAAGTTTCGCATTTGTGCTGCCCACGCAGAAGACAATGCTGAGGAGGTATGAAATCTTCATTGTGGAGCTAGGGTTGATAGACCGGCGTTGCTGCTACTGCGAATACGAGGACAGAGCGTTACAGCCAACTCAGTGCATGAGTGTGCTCAATAACGAAGTCGGCATGGAGCTTTATATGGTGTAGAATGGCACTGTGGGGACACTTGATAGTATCCAATCACTCCGAGCTCGGCCACCAGAAGGCAAATAGGGAGGGCACGGCTGTTCTCTAGAAAGCAGAGTCAGTTGCATCGAACTAGATCAGCGATTCTGGAGCGGCCTGATGGAGAAATGGATCGGGCTTAACAGCGTGTACCGAGTGGAATTGGGAGAGGGATTTGTGGAGTGATTGACGGGGCCCATAGCGAGATTCAGGAAAAGCTTGGGGTAACATGGTTAAGAGCAGCGAGAAGCTGGCTGCTAAGTTTGCTGCGTTCATTGTACAAACAATAATGTAGTTTGAGATGCTCCAGCTCAACATGCGGAAATCTGTCTTGCAATCATACGGTTCGATATGATGTGAAAGTTTTTCCGGACGGATCAAGTGCGTGGGGCTGGTCGGAGGACGGAGCCTCATCAGGCGACTGTGCCACATTGGCACATGGACGACTTTGAGTGATTGCTCGAGGGTCGAACCAACTTATTTCCGAAGCTTAAGTAGACGGGTGGGGAAGGATGCGGTCGTGCAGGGCGGCTCGGGGGAACGGTACAGTAACCGTGCATGCTCTACGGTACCCATATCGAGTCAAGACCACTCCACAACGCCTGCGACGTTCAGTCAAAACGCGCCTATCGCGTCGGAACACTAGTTACTGTAACAGAGATCACTATGCAACATGTAGAATGAAATCTGGATCCGCCAACAGCATGTGCGTGACTTTGTGCAATTAGGAGCAGAGCGCGTTGTGGTTGAGATGCTTGAATCGATCAGTGACGTGTAATCCAACAGCTGCTACACAACATCGCAATAGCGAATTATGGGCCAGAGGAGCAGATGATACCCTCTGTTCTCGCAAGAACTTCATCGACAAGGTCAGTGTAAGTATGCCGTCTCAAGTTGGCTCTATCTATCGGTCTTATTGCTGTGGGATCAGCGCATGTCACGAAATGGACCCTGTGCCGTCCTTTCAAAACATCTCTCCCAGCGCTATGACTGTGCAAGCTACGATGACGCCTTGAAACTCAACAGACGATCGTTGCAGGGATACATGAATATGTTGGAAATCTTCCACTAATATACACTTACAAGCATGAGCAACATGGCATTCGTATTGCGCCTGTTTTGACTACGCCGTAAAGGATTATGAGTGACGGCGAGAATAAATGGGGCTGAGAGTAAGTACTACGACTCCTGACTTTCACAACGTTCAACTACCTCGCAGCAAAATGTCCGCCGAGAACTTACTCGCAGAGTCAGTGCCGCTGTACCTGGTCACAATCGGGGTCATCATGTTGCGCTGCTACGTTCGCTGCCGAGTCATCAAATCATTTGGCAACGATGACTGGGCAATGCTCGGTGCAGGAGTACGTATCGTCAAATAGAGCACTCTCAAGACAACACGCTGACAGACTATTCCCAGGTATGTGCAACGGCATGTTTTGTATGTTATATGGTCCAGATCTCGCTGGGTTTAGGCAATCGCCTCGAGTTTTTGGAAGCAAATGCAGCGAGCTATCGTGAACTGCTCAAGGCTCGCCTTCTTCACCAGGTGTGGGTGGTGGTGGGGCTTGCGCTGGTGAAAGTGTCAATTTGCCTGTTTTTGCTGCGCCTGGTGATGAAGAAGTTGTACATCCAGTTTCTCTGGGGCATCATTGTGTTTATGTTTGCTTTTACGATTGCCAGTGTACTGACACTAGTGAGTCAACCATTTATCTACCCCTCTGACCTTTACTGATCGGCACGCCATACCAGGTTCTCCAGTGCGCCCCCATCGCAGCCGCGTGGAATTATGCCTTACGTCCGCCGCCCATTGGAGTAGGCAATGCAAAGTGCTATAGTCTTGAGGTCTTCACTAAGATTGGGCTCTTTAATGGAGGTATGAATATCGCTGAACTATCCGCGAATTGAACATTGTTCCTGACCTTGCAGTGATCCACATCGCTACGGATATTCTACTTGCCATCTTGCCGACCCCTCTTATTTGGAGCCTTCAGATGGACACACGCGCCCGTGTCTCGCTAATAGCGATCCTCTCCGTTGGCATCTTTGCGGCAATCGCTGGTATAATAAGACAAATCAACGTTGGTCCGCTTGATGAGCACGATACCTACTCGATCTGGAACTTCATTGAGCTGCACCTAGGCATCATTGCCGCTTCGTTACCGGCTCTCAAACCGCTTTTTGCGCAATTCTTCGACAACATCCATGGAGCGACAAATGTGGCGGGAACAACAAGGCATGCAACTTGCAATAGCATCGCTATGCAACCCTATGGTCATACAGCTGCTGCCGATGGAGGGTGGCGGGAAGAAAGGACTAGCCAAGTTTCCATCCTGGGTTCAGACAAGGAAGGCGAGCCAGGTATCCGTGTAACGAGAGTGGTGCAAGTTCACTAGGGACACTCACCTTTACTGCTGATGAGGAATGAGTGTTTCCTTACCATGGGAGGGGAAATTGTACAAGTTTAGGGCTGGGATGGTGAGCGTATTGAAGGGGCACTGGGCTAAAATGTTATAGGACTGCTGCTCCTCAAAACCTCGCGTGACAAAGAGTGAAGCTGTACTACTTTCGCCTCGGGCCCTTGAGCTTTAGGTAAGCGTGCACATACGCTTTCAGCGCCACGCGTAGCTTTGTTGCCGCCTGTTTGTCCTAATTTCTCCATGACTCCACAGAACTGGAAAAGTACAGAGAGGGTAATCGAGTCGACTGCCACGAGTGGGCAAGAAGACATCCTTTCACTGTTGTCTCAGTGGGCTGGCACTGGTTCTGTGACGCACGACTGTTTGGGCAACGCTCAGTCATGCTCTGCAGCGAAGGCAGTTCAGATGAAGAAGGTTCTTCGGCTGATTAAACAAGGCACCATCTTTGTCGTTGACGGGCAGTGGCAGTGGGACAAGCCAAAGGTGGCGCCGCGCTTCTTGCCGCCGCAGCTGGGACAGGTCATGATTGTATACATGGCGTACGTGCAGTCGTTTCGAGAGTACTTGACGGTGAAGGTGCTCGGCGGCAACCGAAGACGTCCGAGTCTCGTTCCTTGCCTGCGAACGGGTTGTGGCGCCACACGCACCACTACGCGACCTAATGACGTAAAGTCCCCTTTTCCGACGCTCAGTCCGCATCCCCACGCCCAAATATTTGCCGTTTCCCAACCCTTCGTCCTCTTAGATGCGAAGAGCGCTGGATCTTATGCGGAACGGGGGTTTCCTTCGTTTTCCGTGTGCTTGGCTTAGTGTGGAAGGGTTGAGATGATTGATTGATCTTTTGTTGCAGTAAATACAATAAGTGAAGGTGTAACCGCGCAGGGCAGTAAGTCAGGGGTAACCGCACGAAGCAGTAAAATCAGTATATTCTTTTGTTCTGTTGTTCAGTGTTCTGTCTCTCACTCGGACCCCAGCGGGGTCTGTTTACATGACGTATCTGTCGTTCAGACAGAAAGTGCTATTGGAACAGGCAAGAGCACTGCACCAGCACACGTGGCAGACATGACCGCTTCACTCCATAAACCGTCACATTTTTTGAGCTATGGCGAGGATGGATCGGGACTATATAATAGAAGGGAATAGCCGTGAGCGGGTATGGAAGCAAACCCAAGCTAACCGAATGAGCTGGACAATCAGTGCAGCGGACCGTTAGCAAATACTGCAACGGACCGCTGGCGAACACTTAGCCACGGCGACCTTACCACACTCCCTCTTACTTAACGGCCCCTCAGGGAACATCCACTCGCGCACAAATTTAGCCTTCCTCTCGTCAGCGCAGCATGCGGAGGTACCACAGCGCAAGGGAGGCAGTGAGCTGGATATCGCCAGACGCAGAGAGACCGAATGTAGACAGCCAGATTGGTGCAGACACCTCGAGGTACCCGAAATAGAGCGTGTAGAGAGTTGTTGCACTGTGGTGTGAGGTGTCAGAAGGCACTGAGACCGCTTCTGTAGTTGAGATGGCAGCTTGGAGTGCTGGAGTTGAGGAGAGAGTCGTTGTCCTGCCGATTGAGTGTGTGAGAGAACGTTGCCCTGTCAACTGAACGTGAGGAGAGTGCCGTTACTCATGTGGGTGAGAGCGTGAGGAGAGAGCTGTTGCCCTGTCGATTGAGCGTGTGGATAGACCTGTTGCCATTGACCTGTCGATTCAAAGAGTGTGCAGAGTGCCCTTGCCCTGTCAATTGAGTGTGTGGAGAGAGCCATTGCTCCTGCATGTGAGAGCTTGTGACAGAATCATTGCCCTGTCGATTGCGTGTGGTTGTGTGGGCTGCTGCTCTTGCTGAGTTTTGTCTTCAACCGAGTCCCAGACTGTATGGCCCACAGACCCACTAAAGGAATTTCTACTCAAAAGAAAGCAGAAGACAACAACAGAGGGCCGCACAGCTTCTACAGCTCCTGTAGTATCCAAAGGAAGGTATTTATATTCAAATATTCACTGTGTTTTCATCAAATCTTACTCAGTGCACTGACCTTAGTAGTCTAGAGGGCCCTGGTTTGAGCCTTGCATGCATCATTGGACCTTTATGCTCTGGGTATTGAGGGCCTACACACCCTGACTTGGTGTGTAGGTGTTGAAGTCGTACTTTAAGCAAACCTCGTAAGTACTATTCGATTGGTTCTCAAGGATGAGCTCTGGTTCTGGAACAGTAGGGGTAAGTCGCCTAGGTGAAACACCTAACAACGGCTTGGGGTAACAATGAGTAGTACAGGCAATCTGTCTAGCTCAAAGGTTGGTGAGATCCAATGACAAACTTAATTGATGAGGTTGAACACAAACCATAAGGGTTTGTGTTCCTACATGCTATATACTAAACATGTCTACGTGGTGATCTGTCTGCTCTGTGTGATCTGACAGCGCAGTGAGAGCAGCGGGAGCGTTCGTGCAGGGTGATCTGCGTGCTCTGTTGCTGTACGTTGGATTGTGAGATCAGTGAGAGCATATATGCAGTCTGACAGCGGGCCTTGTTTCCGTCCCCGTTTAACCAAGACTTGCCGCTGCTCTGTCGTTGCCTACGTTAGCGTGAGAGCGATCCTTGTCAGTGCTACCTAGTGTACCACTGATTGTAACACCTTGCTTAGGTGACTGTCAAACCCCTACGGACTCCCTGTACCTCCGCTCATCCCCAAGAACCAATCAAATAGTGGCTACTGTAACGACACAGGTAAGAGAGGACTCCGATATGGGTTCGAAT